CCCGCCCCACTCGGCCGGCCCCCGCCCTCCCAGACCACGCCCCACCCGCCGCCAGAGCCCAGGCCCCGCCCCACCTCCTGGAACAGGGCAGTTCCGCAGGCTCCTGAAGGCCACCTCCCTGGCTTGATTTCCCTCTGTGCAGTGAGTACTGCCAGTGCTGAAGTATCCTCCCAGGACCCTGCTAGCAAATGTTTCCCTGCTTAAGATTACACTCAGAATTAGTCGGAACTCCCGATCGTCTTCCAGGCGCCACACAACTAAGCGATCCTAGTGAAACCTCATCCTTTATTCTTGAGTGTAGAATAGAATAGTGTGAAATGGAGAAAACGTTATGCACAAATAGTTGTTGGACCCCTTTAGCATCTAGTTTGGTAGCGTTTTGTTTGTTTGTTTGTTTGTTTCTGTTCTTTTGGTTTTGTTTTTTTTTTCTATGTGGTCTGTGTGTCGAGTCCTTTTTTTTTTTTTTTTTTTTTTTTTTACTAAGAATAAGATGTGAAAGGCAGTCCTTGCACCATTTCATCACTTGGAATTTGTTAGAAAATATATTAGACATTATCAAGGACCACCTTGCCAAAAGACACTAAGGCCGGTGGTTATTTGATGTCCTGCTTTGAACTGAGCTTTTCTAGGAAGACATCAAAAACCTTATAGATGAATGGGATATGCTACACAAGACAACCTTTTGCAAGCAGGAAGCACAGAGTGATCTGACTGACAATTTGCTCGATTAAGGAATATAGATATCTACTATTTTAGATGGAGAGTAGCTAATCCAGTTGGGACAAAGGATGCCAGAGACATTTAGCTCTTCCAGCCTCTGTGTGTGAAAAACTAGTATATTAAGATGTCTACCTTACAGCCCTTCATTTAAAAGAGAAAATACATATCTATTATCCTTATACTGTTGCTCTAAATTTAAAAGAACGCTTTGTCTAATGAGAAAGAACAATCGATATGACATAATGATACAACCAATTGAGAATTACATTTAACCCCCATAGATACTCTTAGGAGGTGAATAGACCAACCAAGGGATTAATTTAGTCTAATAGATAGTGCAGTTGGTTAGGATGCTTATAACACCAAGTGGACTCATTTGAAAACTAATTATTAACTTTTCTGCCATAATGAGCCTCAAACAAATTAGGACTAGGAACAGAATAAAACACTCTAGAAAATCAAGCAGTTCACAAGTAAGAGCATCAGGACCACTGAGACCCTCCATTCCTGTGAAGAAAAGGGGGGTTGTTCTGTATCACACTGACACAGGAAAAGTGGGGGCTGGAGGTCCTTCTGTAGAACAGAGGCATCCTAGCTTCAGGTAGGCTTTAACTCAGGAGTTAGGGTGCCGCAAGGTCACAGTCAAACAAAACCTACTGAATTAATAGCTCTGGGTTCTTAGTTCTCAAATTCAAAGAAAGGAGCTGGGAGGGGAGGTTTAGGAGGGAGTTTGTTCTAGGGTTGTAGATGGGAGTTTTAAAGAAAGGAAGAAGACAGAGCTCCCATGTCACTGGAGAGGGTCCCAGGGGTGGAGCACCGCCAAGCTGCTACTCTAGGGAATGTTCACAGGACTGATGGCAGAGGCTGGAGGAGGCCTGGGAAGGCAGGCTGCTCCGTCCATTTGGCCCACTCTCGACCTGCCCAGGTGCTGCTCAGCTGGAATCGTGTCATCCTTTATAGTGCCACCACTGCTCATCTGCAGAGTACGAGTACGGAGAACAGAGCAGGAACCAGGGGCTCCTTGTGTATTCCTGGCCTCTGTCTGCTACAAAAGCAAAGTGGTTTTTTGTTTGTTTGTTTGTTTTGTTTTGTTTTTTGTTTTTTACATCTGGCTAGGGACAAAAATCTTTGAGGTCTTTGCTGGACTAGTTTCTATTCCTTGTTCTTACCAACACACAATCCCTCCTGAGTTAGTACTGGAAGCACTGAGCTCCATATGCTTCTCTGAATCTTCAATGGAAGGTCTACCAAATCTGACATCTATTCCAGTTTAAACTTGATGGTGTGTGTGTGTGTGTGTGTGTGTGTGTGTGTGTGTGT